AGGGTCAGCGGCTCGCAGCCCGCAAATCCGGGCCAGCGGAGCGGGACACCCCGCTCGCACATATGTATACACACACACACACACACACACGCATCTACACGTACACACATATACACGTACACGGGCACGCGTGTGGATATTGCTGCATGCAAGGGTACAAAAAGGTGGCCACCAGGGTGTGCGAACCCGGGCCAAAGGGACTCGGCCGAGGGGCCTGTGAAAGGAGGGCTGCTGTGAAATATCCTTTTCCTCTCCTCTCAGAAAAACATCCCAAAGCCATTATTCCTTTCCAAAGGGCGGAATTCGAGCAAGGTGTAAAATACAGGAAAAGGCGGACGGGGCTTGCTGGCAGGCTCCCGGCTTTCTCACCGCAGCCCGCCTCGCTTTCCCACGCCAAAAATAAACCGGAGGAAACGCAATTGTGTTGGAGATTAGGCCGGGGCAGAATCAAAGCGGCCCCTGATGGATATCGTTGGGGGACCGGCTCCTGATGGCGGGATAAAGCCGGGCCCGGAGTTATGGTATAAACAGCTGAGCCGGGGGGGGCCCTCGGGGCCGGGGGAGGCGCGGGACGGGCCTGAGGGAGCTCCCGCCGCGCGGGCGCCCCCTGCCGGCGGCGCGCGCACTATTCACCTTCCGGCAGGTAATTGTCGGGCGCGTGCCAGGCCTGGATGATCAGGGAGAAGGTTCCCTGCGGGAGAGAAAGCAGCGTCAGCCCCGCAGCCCTCCGCGCCCGGCCCTGCCCTGCCCTGCCCCGCGTCTGCTGCACGCTTCCCTCCCTCCTACAGACCAAAGATACACATCCCCACCTCCAAGCCCCCCAGCCCCTTGCTTTATTTCTCTTAATAACATTGGTTATCCCAAGTGCTTCTAATCTGGATGAGCTTTTTCACTGCGCCCTATTTTATTTATTTTATTTTTTTTTTTTTTAAAGGAAGTTATGGAAATAAGTCTAAAGGCAAAAGTAGTTTGTTTACATTACAGGTTATCAGCCCGCCGCGGTTAGCCTGCTCCTGCCACCCTCCTGCCCCACCATCGCAATCGGGTTTAAAGTAGAGTCTCACCGGCCACGTGAAGTTAAAGGGCAGCTTAATGGGGCTGTCAAATATCTCCGTATCCTTGATGCTGAAGGAGTTTATTCCCAGAACCGGGGTGATGATGCTGCCGAAAGTGCAGGAGCCCGGGGAAACCACTGCCTGAAAATGCTTCAAACAAACGCGAAAGAAGGTCCTGCAGTGGGGGGAGCAGGGCTTCCCGCTGGCCAGAGACCCGTGGCTATTCACGAATTCGTGTAGCTCCAGCTGGAAGACGCCGGAGCCGGACACCCTCTGCACAAAGGGGAGACACACAAAATAGCCAAATCAGACCTTACCCGGCTTTGCCATGCAAACTTGCTTCCATCACCCACTTTACATTTCGCGAACCCTTTTTTTTTTTTTTTTTCGTGTGCGATTACCTGCTGCAAAATCGTTAACAGAAACGTCAAGCCAAAGATGCGCAAGGCTGTCATCCTTGTGTTATTCGAGCTTCCAGTTCTTAGTGGGTTTAGTTTTCCTTCTGTATTCCTCAAATGGACCAAGCAAGCGCTTCTTCGGTCGAGGGAGAAAAGAGAGGCGTCACGGCGATTCTCCTGGAGCAACCTGCTCTTCCAAATATTCCCCGAGCACCAGCAGAAATCGGAAGGTAAAATCCAGGTGTCGATCCGTCCTCTTCTGGGAATTAATCCTGCAGCCAGCCGCCGACCTCTGATCGCTGTCGTCGCCTTTATAAACTCCAAAGCCGGGTGGGTTTGGTGAGAGACGCGGAGGGGAGTGCTTAGTGTGGAACCGCTCCTCCTTTAACCGGTGCTAACAGCGCTCAGTAAATGGAAAACTTGCTTCGCTTCGAGCTGTTTATATAGTTGCCTCGCATCCTCACAAGCTCATTATGTAAACTGTCAGTCAGACTCACGGGCGATCCCTCCCCTTTTCCATCTTTCCTTTCTGGAAAAAAGAACCAAATGTTGCGGAGAGCCCTCATATCCCGAATTAATACCCTGC